GCACATTGCGCGCCACAGCTAGCGCCTTTGCAAAGCTTCAAGGAGTCCATTGTTGCTACCAATGCTCGGATAGGTGCATCAGCAAATCGATGCCATTCCATGGCCAGCTGATCACGGAACACCTGAAGCTTGATCACCTTGGTCGTGATGACATCTGGGCTAGAATTCTTGCTAGCTGATTCTCTGGTGACCTTGGAGTCCCCAAGCTGCAAAATGTGCCCATAAATGAGAGTCTGTTCATCAGTGCCCTTGAACTTGGCCGGAATGATGATGGGTTCCATGCCAACCTTGTCAATGGTTTCAGCCTCTGGAGAATCCAAGAAGATCAATGCCAGCGCATCAGTGCTGATGAAGGCGTTGTTGTTGAGAAATTGCCGAGCCATGTCCACATTGCAAAGCGCAACTCCTCGTGCTTCAGCCTCAACTTCAGCAAAGGTAATTTGTTGCACTGGGAGATCACTGTCGTCCTTGAAGTGGTGAGGGTTCAGCTCAAATTGTGAAGGATCCAAGAGGACTGGTGCATCATGGCCAGGTCCCTTGTGTGGCTTCTTGGTCTTGTGATTCTTGATCTTGGCACCATGCTTGGTCTGAGCCCGTGCCGCCACATAGTCTTTCTGTTCCTCCACAGTGATGAGCCTGAACATGGTGCCAGGCTTGCTGGCTGCAGCCTTCAAGTCAGCCCAAGGGTTCTTGGCCTTGAGGATTTGTTGAATCTGCCTCTGGCCAATACGCTGCATCACCAGTTGTACCCGGTCTGACACTACCTCCTTGGGGACACCCTTGGACTGCAAGATATCAGCAAGTTGCCGTTGGAGGTCCTCGGGTCCACCAGCATAAATCTGGCATGGCATAGTCTGTGCCTTCAGGAGCCAATCATGCAGGAGAGCAATGTCCACCTCAAAGTCCAAATCCAAGAGGCGAAGACAATGTGCAAAATGCAACAAAGCAATTGTGCCACAGGTATGGCCATGTCGTTGAGGATGACTTTGTCCGAGCTGCAGCCCAAGGCATGGGTCTCCCAGCGCCTGTGAGATCTGGTGGACAACTTGGGTAATGCATGGGAGGGCTTGATGCATGTAAAGTCCATCATGCAAAATCCAATCAAGCCCTTGCTCTTGTTGGTTCCAAAGTCCATGAACCAAGAGCCAATGATCTTGCCATTCGCAGATGAAGAGGATGTCCCCAGTTTCATGTTGCCGTCGTGCTCGCCAGGAAGCTTGAACTGCCGGAGGTGGTGTCTGCTGCAACAACTGGTTGACACGAAACGGGTAGAACACAAATGGTGTGGGCGCCAATTTTTGCATAGAAGCCACCTGGATCAATTTTTGCATACCTGTCCAAATCAATCGATCACCCAATTGACGTGAGATGTCACCTGGTCCTCCTCCAAGAAGTTGGATGTCATCAGGAAACGTTCTCACCTGCTTGCTGGTACAGATCCTGATGTGATAAAGCACTCCAGGTTGCAGCTGAGTGTTGGGATGCAATCTTTGGCCTTGATGAGTGACGATCGCATATTGCCCCCATCCTGCCAGCTTCCGTTCGGCCTGGAGCAGGTCCTGCACTGTGGTGGGGCAATTGATGCGGATCTCGTAGATGGTGTTCTCACCTTCGATCTGCAGAGAGACCAGTCTGGGCTCATAGTGCTGGGGTGTGATCCATCTATGGAAAGCGTGAGCGGCCAGCTCTTGCTGCAAGACAGTGAGAATCTGCTGAGGATCAATGCCAGTCCATCCCCAAAAATGCATCTGAAGTCCCGCCAGCACATGTGCTTGAACCCAGACCACTTGAAGTGGAGCTGCAATTTGTCCCAGCAAGCTGAGTGCCGATCTTGGTGGCATTGGAAAGTGGAATGTCGGTGGCACTGTGCATAGCATGGCACCTTCTTCAGGATGAAGATGACGGTGACGGCCTGTTCGTGAGGAGATCAGGCCAAAACCTCGTGCTCCTCCTGAACGAAGTCGGGCGACACTGAAAGCTGCACGACATCCGCAAGGGCAAGGTCGATTGACATGTCCCCATGAGTGCAGGACTGTTGGAGCTTTGTCATGATCAAGGAGAACTCTTTGATCTGCGCCGTAGCATGGATCCAGATAAATGGCCAATTCACTTGGATCCCATTCCAGTTGGTGCTCAATGAGTTCATCCCAGATTGCATCCAGCGGCATGATGTCCCCTAACTTTCGATAGCATTGAGTTGTTGGCCACCGAGGGATTTCAACCTTGGGCACTGTTTTTCTCATCATTCTACACCAGAAACGATTGCGTCGGACTGGCCACTGGTCCTGGAGGTCAAAAATGAGTTTGAAAATGTGCATATCCGTCAGCTGGGCAAAATCATCAATGCTTTGCTGTGCCAAGGGGAAATGAATCACGTTGGCAACACATTCCAGCAGGATGTCATCCACCTGGAGAAGCCAGGATGCTCTCAGGATGGCATACAGGCTATGGCTACGATGGTCGTTCATGCCCTGTTGATCTCCCTGCAAAGAGAAGCCTTGACATGGAAACCCTCCTGTTGCCTGCAGGTATCCTGCACCTATCAGTGGATGAATTTTCTTCAGTGTGTCAACATCACCAATGTCACCTTCAATGACTGGGCTGGCAAAGTTGGCCCGTAATGCTTCACATGCCAATGCTGATTTCTCAACAAAAATGGCCGTACGCATTCCCAAGAGCTGAGAACCGATTGAAAATCCACCCATTCCAGAGCAAAAATCCAAAACAGTAACATGTGTGAAAAGATCCTTCTCATGATGGACATGAATTTCTGTCACTCCGTCCACCACTTGACATGCGGAGTCCTCCTGTGCTCTCTCTAAGTCATAGAATGAGTAAAGCCCTGGTGCATGCGCAGCAGCGCCAGTGACTACAAAAGATTGTTGGGGCGAGAGGCCAGTGCAAAAGCAAGTGCCATCCTTGAACTCATTGATGTAGGCCACCAGCGAAATGCGCGAGCCAGGCGGCAAAGGAGAAACCCAAAGGTCCATGGTTGAGAAAATGGGGTCCCAGGTATCAGTTGAGAACGGTTCTACTACTGGTAAGGCCTGGGCCAAGAACTAATATATATATATAATTAATACAATATATAACATATTGCAATCAAACATTCGATGATAGAATCCATCTTGTCGGTCGATTTTCATAGCGAGATTTCCTCTTGTGGGATGGATGACAACCCATTCACAGATGGACTGATGATTGCTTGTAGTAAACAACCGTCGATTTTTGGTGCTCAAATAGGATTGTTTGAGGCTACAAAGAACCAATTCATTTGCATTCGTAGGTCTCAGGTTCTGATTGTTTGCCCACACCCTCTGGTAATTTAACATAGCTATTGAACATGGCACATTTATAGTTGATTGACCTAGTAAAGATGGTGATGTTCCATGGCTATGTAAACGTTTACCGGATGGTAGATCTTCAATGTTGTTTTGGAACAAGTAGGCTGTCATAATATTTTGCCAAGAACACGTTACTGGACCATAAACCACTTGGACCAAGGGAAGAGCGACGACTGGAGCCTATTCTTCGTGGGAGATCTCCCTTTTCCCACGATATAAACCCAATTAGTAAACTGTCGTTGACCTTCATTCTCTAACACGACAACCATAGTTGGTGGCTGATCCAATCTACAAGGATTTGCACATTGGATTCTACTAGTACTAGCTGTTTTAAAAAAGGGGATTATGATTATCCATGAACTTGAAATGTTAAGCCACCGGGTTGGTTTTTTTGTTCACTGCTCGAGATCGCAATGATCAACAGATTTGATCCAATCCTATGAAAAAGCTATGCTTGGTAATCCTTGTTCAGTCATGATTAACTACGTGGGTTAATGATCAACATCTAATGATCAAAATCTACATTGGCCTCCATGATCACTCTTATTCTGACTAACTTTTGAAGACTTCTCAAGTGGATCTGACTCGTGATGTGACTCATTTTTTGTTGTTTGATATCAAATCAAATCCGAATCCACTTATATATATCATCCAAATCCATTTCTATGATATATAATGATATATATATATATATAGGGCGGAAGCTGGGGGTTCCCCGGAAGCCAATTGCAATTTAATTGTATGGATATGGAAAATGTTGATTTTATACTGTGTTTTACAGTGTTTTTTGCCTTCCCTTGAAAGTGTTGCATCAGTGAAAGTATCAATTTCGGCGCGGATAAACTCGGAGTTTGTCCGCGCAGAAAAATGATAAATTTACATCTTCCATGGATGGCCAAAAATGCGTTCAACATTTTTCCCATTGAAATTGTGGTTTCATACATTTTTTCAGTTTTTGTTGATAAGTACAAAATGTCATAATCCACTGGAGAACGATGGACGAAATGAACATCACATCTTTTTCATCTTCGCTTTCCCAAACATTTTTTTTGGCATGGCGATGGAATATGTTGTTTTTACACTGTGTTTTACAGTGTTTTATGTTTTTCTCTGAAATGGTTTGATCAATCGAACTTCCATTTTCATCGCGGAAGAACTTGACGTTTCTCCGTGCTGAAACAGGAAAATTTTACATCTCCCATGGAACATCTTCCAGGATTCAACATCATCCAACGCGCTTCACATGACGTTATTACACCCCCCCCCCCCCCCCCCCCCCTTTCTAAACAACAACGAAACTTTGCAACGTAGCAACATTGCCAGCCCAAGCAACATCTTCCAGGATTCAACATCATCCAACGCACTTCACATGACGTTATTACACCCCCCCCCCACCCCCCCACCCCCCCATCTGTATACAAGAACGACCTTTCTGGTATAGCATCAAGACTGAGGGTTCCTCGAAGCTCTGGGGAACCCCCAGCCTTGAGCCTATATATATATATATACATATGTACAGTATTACTTGATAATATATATAAGTATATAAGTATATATATATATATATATTATCAGATATATTCCACTTCTATGATACTCTTCCCCAGCACGAAGTTCGATGCTTTTCAGCTCCAGCAGTGATTTCGCTGTGCCGAGGAAGGCTTGCCTCCGTGGGACTTCCGCCTGAAGCATGTCATGCCACTGGGGCTGAAGGGGACCCAAACTTGTGGATGAAACCATGGTTAATCATGGTTATTATATGTTATTATGAGAAATTCTGTAAACGTGAGAGAGCAGAGAACTATGGTTTATGTTACATTATGTTTGTTGTTTGCCTTTTTTTGGGCGCTGCGAGGTTGTAATCTTCACAGATCCTCTTGGGATCCGTCATTTGGATGGTTGGTGTTTGAAACGATCTACCGTCCCTGAAGTGGATGAAGCAGCATTTGAAGATTTTGAAGGGTATTCCTCTCATTTGGGACAAGCAAGGAGCAAGTTGACCAAGGTTTCCTGCAAGTTTTTCTCCGACATCGATCCGTAGAAACTAACATTTACCATACCCCCAAACAAGATCATGCCAGGTGTAGGGGGTTGGAAGACAACTTTGCTCGCAAAGGAAAGGGCGATTTTCACGGTCTATGTTACTTTTTCGGAGAATGGTAATGGCCAATTACCCACATTTTCATTGGTGACGTTCCCAGTTCTGTTCGTTAAAGCAGCTTTCTTGCTAGACCAACATCAATCCAATCCCAACACCATCACTATTATTCATTCCATACATTTCTCCAGGGCTTCCTAATCGCAGGGGGTCTGAAAACTCATAGCAATCATAGCAGCCGGGGACCGGATTTTTTCCTGTGGTCCTTTGGGTCCAGGATGGTCCAGGGTAAAATGACCATCCAGTTCCAGCAGAGGTACGATGGAAGCATCTAATTTTGAGCAGCAAATGATGAAGTCCCCCCCCTAATCCTCTATACATAATATATAATATAATATATATATATACATAGATAGCCTCCCCGGTAAATTCACACTTGGACCCTGAAAATCACCAAGATCTAAACATCAGATAAACATCTATGCTTTCACTCATCATTGGTAAACATCTATGCTTCACAGTTCAGTGGTTTCACTCTTCCAATCCCTGCCTGAGGTCCATCTCGGCGAGCGGCCACAAGTTTGGCAACTCCTGCTGTGGCACAGGTGGTAAAAAAACCCGAAGGATGGTGGATTGGTGCTATGGCCAATTATAATATTTAATGTACCATTATTATGATATATTATTATGATATATCCATTTAAGATGGATTTTCAATGACATAAACCATCCAGCGAGCTTGGGGTACCCCCATGACTTAGGAAACATCCATATAACCATATCTGGTTGGTGGTTTAAAACATGGCTTTTATGACTTTCCATTCAGTTGGGAATAGTAACCCCATCTGACGAAGTCATATTTATAGAGGGCTTCAAACCACCAACCAGACCATTATTATTATTATTATTTATTATTATTATTATAATATATATATATAATATACATAGAATATTACACAGAGTAATACATTTATATGTTGCGATATACAGAACACACATATATGTGTATATACATATATACACATATAACACATGTAGAATCCAGCAGAATACATTTGGAAAATTGTTTCATGGGTCATCCCCCCTATGGTTGTTGGTAGCTGGGTTGTCACCCATATCCAAGCAAACAAAACTACTAGTTTGGAGGTTCCATAATTCATCCAAATATGTTCTTTGTCATCATGTATCATCACTAGAAAATAGATCATTCAAAACCTAACAAAGCCTTCTGAAGTCATCCATTCATAGTTGATTTACCTAAAAATCTCTCAACCAGCAACATGATGGATGGAAAATGGGTCAGTCATAGCCACTGCTCACCCCAAGACATGGCCGGAAATTTAGCAGTTTGTCACATGTTTTGTAGAGAAGCCGTGATTCATTCAATCACATATACATACCCATAGGATCCATGTATGCCATATATGGTAACATTTACCATCAATATACCCCCAATGTTAGCATATATTCTATACATGGAGCATCTGGGATATGTAATTACGTATATATATATATATATATGGTTATATTTAATAGACTTAAGTCACTACTATGTTTTTTTTACTGAAGTACTGAAAGTGGTTGACAATCCACCCTGCTAGGTGGGTCACCCCATTAGTTATGGGAGTTTCGTCATTGGGAACTCCCCAAGAGCTGGTTGATTTAGAATGGACAATCTGATCTATATATAAATCATGGTAAATTATAATGACCTCACTGTTCGACCTCACTATAATCATAGTTAAGATTCGGGGAATCATCCCCAAGATAGCCGAACTTTTCAGGTGAGTGAATTATTAAGTCTGGAGGATTTAGGGGTATCCCCATGACCTTGGAAACCTCCATATATCCTGAATTCAGGGTTTATGGGCGATAGAACTATAGTAGGCATGATTAATAAACCATCGAACAGAACTGGGTGACTGGGTGTGGCCCACCCCATTACCGGTGGATGATATCAATGGGTTTGTTTGAAGAGAGGGCATCTCTAATGTTGATTTGTTGATTCGAAAAAATAAAAATGGTCCCCAGGAAGATTGGGGGGATATGCCCAATATTGTGACATACCCGAGTATCATTTGCTTGGCTATATATCATATGATTGGTATTGATTGGTTATACTATATACACACCAGTATCTCGCCATTGAATACCCTATATTACCATGACATCCCCATGACAGTCCAATTCCGTTCTCATTTTTCATAATTCAACATAGTGCAACTTCTGAAAAACCACCATTTGTGTTGGTTAAACCATATTAAACCACCATTTTCAAGTGTTGATTAAACCATCATTAATTTTTGCTGGTGAAACCACCGTTTTGGTGTTGGTTCAACCAGCATTTTGCTTGGTTTCAGCAGCATTTTTGGCGCCACAGGCTGGGTGGTGTGGCGCCAGCGCAAGGGACTCTCTGAGCACGTGGCCATCAGCGTGTCCTATTTGGGAGGAAGTGCCATGGCGCCATTTTTTTGATGGAAGCCCCCAATGTGACTGGAGTACTATAGCAATATATAGCAATGGGGTGATATCAATAATTAGATATGGCTATGGATCAATACCTATAAGTACCATTTTTAGTGGGATGAACATCCATAAATCCCAGCTATTTTGATGTGAACAGAAGGGGTACAAGGTTTTGACACACTGCCAAATGGTGATTTAAATTAAATGGTGATGATTCATGGTTGATATGGCCACCACGGTGATTATTCAATGGTTATATACATATACATTTATATATTTATTAATCATTCTTCAATGGTTATTATTCATGGACCATTATTCAATGGTTAAGAATGGTGATTATATAATGGTCAACAATACACAGTTGTTTATTTTACTGGGGTTCCTCAAGCAAATCCAAGCTGAACATCTGGGTTCAGTGTCAAACATGGTGGTATAATTCAGTCGTAGGATGTAGCAGGGATATAACGCATAATAATCTGTATATATAGACTTGTATAGATCATATAGATTTATATGATACTATGTCATTGATAATTGGAAATAGGGGATTTTCTAATGTCTATGTGACCAGCGTAATAGACATTCTATACTTTAGTAGTGTTATATGATAAATGATATCGGACAAATCTGGGAAGAAAAGCAACGATAGTTGGGATATTCTTACTTGGGGGATGTGTGTTTTTATACCGACTAATCGACAAAGGAATAAGTTAAGGAGGTTTCTCTGAGAATTGGGTCACTGGCAATCGAACAGGGTCGAAGACCAGCCTACTATAGATAAATCATAGCCACAAGGGGGAACACTTGTAATTATTGCGCTTTATTCTTGATCTGCTCATTTCCGTGTCTTGTATTTGGGGTGTTGGGAGAAACCATGTACAGGTATAACCAATACCAACAAAAAGCAACAACAACATGTTAAGGAATGTTACGGGTGTGTCTGTGTGTGTGTCTGAAAATCTAGATCAGCAATGGGCAGATGGGTGATGATGTGTGCATATATATAATATATTTATATGTACACTCATGATTACTGTACTAACCAGCTAAATAAATATTTGTATTATATATATATATATATATATTTGTTTGTTCAGGAATGCCGTGAAATCGAGAACCCCTAAATCCACTGGTTTATGATGTTCCACTGCTCCATATTTTGTATATGGGTGCATCGCATTTCGCTACTGGTCATTTCTCTTCAATCCCAAGTGGGTTTCTGGTTTACCACATCAGTTGGATGACACGTATATAGATGCTACATGCATGACAATTATTAATATATAGATGCTACAACTATATATGTAGTTTCTTGAAGATCTTTTCATATCATTTCTAAATTCTAAGCCTCAGATGACCATCCAAACTAGCATGGTGTTTTTGAGGGAATTGAAACATATTGAAATCACCAGGCAGATATAATTTAGCCTGATGTTCCAAATTTTTGGGATTGTAACCCACCAAAACAGTGGATTTTTGTTTACCACAAATGCTCAGCTTGACATTGTCCAAGTGTGCTCAGCTAGTTGCCACATGGGCCATGGGGCAACTGGCTGATGATTTTTCGTGAATTTTCCATGGGTGAATTTTCCGATCGAAGCCACTTGGTCAATTCAGAAAAAGGGGATTACCCTCTGGTAATTTAACGTAGCTATTGAACATGGCCATTGAAATAGTGAGTTTTCCCACTAAAAATGGTGATTTTCCATAGTTGTGTAAACGTTTACCAGAGGGTACATCCAAAGCCCTTGATCTCCAAAAAATCTCCAAAGAAAGATCAAGAAAGGGAGATGGGATCAATGGGAGCACAAAATCCAGCCATGTTTAAGAGGTAAACCATCTATTTCGATTAGGGCCATCTATACCATGGCGAAGTGTGAATGTCATAACCAGAGGGTATCCCATTAAAGTCACTGGCTGGTGGTTTGGAACATGTTTTATTTTCCATTTCATATATGGGATGTCATCCCGGGGTTTTAGCAGCAACCACCAAGCAGATGAAACCCCCCAGTATCATTGAATGGGAGATACAGGAAAGTCGATGGCGACAACAAACAAATCCCCATTCAATACCCTCTGGTAAACATACCACATAACTATGGAAAATCACCATGCTATTAATGGATAAATCCACTATTTCTATGGCCATTTTCAATAGCTTTTTGTAAGTTTACCGGAGGCTATCAGGAAAATCACCATTTTTTTCATGGATAAATCCACTATTTCGACTGGGCCATTGTCAATAGCCATTCAAATCAGTCAAATCCCCAGTATCTCCCGTTCAAAAACGCCGCCAGGTGCTGACTCCTACACGCTGAACTTTTCGCGCCCTGCGCAGGCGATGCGGCGATGCGGCGATGCGGGGGGAATTCGCTTCGGGAAATCCTGAGAAAGTCATTCAAGAATGAGGTAATGCATATGTCTAGATAGATATGAAGATAAAAATAAACATCCATATATATATATAGATATACATATAAATATGAATAAATCAATAAATGTATATATATATATATGAGATGATGTTTAGTTTCCGAGATGATTGGTGAATTTGGTGATGATTTCGATTTTTGTTGACCTTTTGGGTCAAAACTATGGTGGATCTTTTCGCTTCCAAGCAACTTTGCGACTCGTATGGCCGTTGACACTTTTGAAGATGGTCGGGGCGTTTTTCTAGGTCGGATCAGATTGATTTCAATCCATGGAATGAGGTAGCCTACCGGGTAGCCTTTTTTGAGACAAACCCAAATTCATGGTGTGAAAGGATTGTTTTTTGGGGGTCGGTGTTGTCATGTGTCATTTCTGTGTTGCATGGGGCAGCCATAGCCCCCAGTCAAACATGGCTGGCTGGCAAATCCATGAAACCAAGAACTCCATAGTTCCCCGTCGCACTCCCCATTGCTGTCAGCCGGGGCATATAATCAGACAAAAATCAGACAATCTCAGAAGCTGTGCCCACATGTAGAAACAAAATTGATCAGCAAACGACACAAAAAAAGACTGCACCGGTTTCCGCATGAAGATATCCCACTCGATTCCGCACCTTGGGTTTTTCTGAAAATCCGCACCGGGCACCAGGGTGTTTATGTCCAGTTCTACAAGTTTCTACGACTGGGAAAAGCTGGCTACGCTGCACAGGCAGAAGAAACTCACTGCCTAATTGTGGGTCAATTAAAGCCATCCACAAAGATGGAAATCGGTCATTTTGCAATATTAAAAAAAAATATGTCATTTTGGCCAAGTTTGTTTGCCTTGTAAAATGGGTCTGTGTTTCCATGCTGGGGCTTGGAACATGGGAGCAGCTTTTGGGAATGAACTTTCCTGCTGGATTCCTAGGTTTCAATCGGTTGATTTAGGGGGAAACCACAGTAGAGAAAGTCATAGGTTTAGCATCTAAATATATATATATATATATGATATATGGCTTTCAAGTACTGTATGTTTCACAATTTCTCAGAAACAAAACTGACATATTTGTAAAAGAATGTGACATGTATTGACCAAGATTTGCCAAGATCACCCAGTACCCTCTGGCAAACATAGAAAAAGTTATAGAACATCACCATTTTGAATAGGTAAATCAACTATAAATAGGCTATTTTGACATAACCAGAGGGTAAACTGCGGATAAATCTAATGGACCTTACCTTATCCAAATTCCAGTGTCAGGCGGCCTCAACGTTTGATGTGCCTAGAGGTGTTTTGTCTACTATTTGTCTAACACGATACCTGTATACTGAAGGTTTGTACCTGTATATTTTCCTACAGAGCGGTTCTTCGGATGTGGATACCATCTGGTTATGACTAACATAGCCATGGAAAATCCCTTATAAATGGAGGTTTCAATGGGAAAATCATCTCTTTCTATGGGCCATTTTCCATGGCTATGTTAAATAACCAGAGGGTACATGAAAATTGTGGTCCAAGTTGCTTGTTGAGAAACGTCTTGTTGCCAGGCGTAATGTTCGAAGATTATGACACTTGGGGCCTAAGCCAAAATCATTCTTAAAAGGTAGAACCTCATGGAGTAATAAAAATATATACGGTAGGGCCCATTACTACCGTTGTTTGAGTGTTCTATCCCATGGAGCAGATCTGACATTGATATGTGCATTTTCAGTGGTGACTACGTTTTTATACACTGTATTGCCATCATTATACTATATGTTCAACACATGATGTTTCCATATATGTACATCCCATATATCTCATTCTATTTTTTCTATGTCCAGTCCTATTGTCTATTGTATTTCCATGAAACGGTTTGGTTTATACCATCATTTTTGTTGGTTAAGTCAGTATATATAATGATATTCCATCATAGTTTCATAGATTCCCAATATACTGTATTTCCATGATGTTTCCATTATAGTCCTTTTATACTTCCTTATTGTATGTAAAAATGGTGCAACATATAGCTCCATATGTATTCCATATGCATTTACCATTACATTTCCATGATGCTCCGCATATACATGTATGTATATTACATTCCATTAAGATTACATTTTTCATATATATATATATATTAGAGAATATTCATGGATATTCTATATAGATCTAAAATAGTATTGTATTGGCAGTCAATGAGTATATTTGAGTATATGCACATATTCCCATGACATTTCCATTACGTTCCGTTTGTATTTCCAGTATGGGAAAGGGATCACCCCCCTTAATGTCAGGTGGCGAATCAGCTGGCCGTCGCACAATTTCTGCGAGAAGGTCCTTATTTCAGACAAAGCAATATGGATAACTTGGGGAAAGACTGGATATACTGTATTTATATAGTTATATATATATATATGTATACATTGAACTATACACATATTTATATATATATTTATATATTACATACTGTACCAGTTAAAGGAACATATCTTACGAACAACACACAAGTTGGACATTAGTTGGCCAAATTGATCTGGTCCATTTCAAAACTCAAAGAAATGAGATACTGAAAGATATTGCAATCCCAAAAAAAGATAGAACAGTAGTTTATCATATTTATTGTTGGGATTTTGCTGATTGCACTTAGGTCTTCGCAACCGTTTTGGGGTGGCCCATTGAACACTCGACTGGCGTTTGGCCTTTTCGAGGTCTTCAAAGCATCAAGGTCAACGACTTTTCCATCTTTACCATCTTGGATGCCGTGGGCATGAGCGAGCAAAAGCACTGCCTGCCGGTCACTTGATCTGAAGATACCCGGCCTGGTAAAAACTAACATAACTATTGAAAATCACCATTTTTAATGGGAAAATCCACTATAAACCATTGGTAATTTAACATAACGAACTGGAAAGATCCACCATGTTTAATGGGAAAATCCACTATTTCGACTGGGCCATTTTCAATAGCTATGTTAGTTTACCAGAGGGTAGCATTACCTGAGCCATGAACAAACGAGCTTTTTCGATTGGTCATGAAATGTCATGAAATAAGGAGATTTTAACATACTATAACTAGACTATAACCCATATTAGGGAAACCTATCAACCAGAATCATGAGATCGGAAAGCCCAGCTCGCTGTGATCTTTTGCATGGCTCACGTCACTAGTTCCAGCCCGCTGGGGTAGCCTCATTGCAATGCATCGTAAAAAACTACAAGAAGTTCTGGGCAAGCTATCAATGTTTATTGTATTCTAAAATCTATTGTATTGTAGTTGATAAACATAAAATAAGTTCTATTGTATCATAAAACTACTATTATTGTATTCTAAAATCTATTTGTTTTATGGATACAATCATATGAAATCCAAGTTGTTGGTGGTTGAATAAACCATTCTTTTTTGTTGGTTAAATGAATCTAAGTTGCCAACTTAAGTTTCATCAAATTCAGACATCATAAGTTTGGGTTATATATGTTCCCTTCAAAAAAAACAACGCATTCCCCCCAAAAATACATCTTTTTATTGGGATAAAAATCTCTCAGGTGGTGGCTGCCATGATCAATCCAGATCTGGGCTTGCCATTTGTACCTCGGCTGGTGACCACTTAGATATGATGGTTGAATGATGTGGTTTAATGGTGGTTTAATGGTGGTTTAATGGGGGTTTAATGGGGGTTTAATGGGGGTTTAATGGTTGATAGTGGTGATTAGTACCCTCTGGTTATGTCAAAATAGCTATTGAAAATGACCATTGAAATAGTGGATTTTCCCAGCTAGAAAATGGTGATTTACCACCTGGTAAATTAACAGTTGGACCCTGAAAATCACCATTTCTTTAAATGGAAGCTAGTCTTCCAACCCCGATGACTGCCAGGGTCTATGTTAATTTACCAGAGGGTAGTAAGTGGAGTCCCCAAATGGCCCAACATTTCAGCTACCTGACCGACCCTGGTCGGTCACCCTGCATCATTAGTTGCATGGCTGAAGCCCCGAAGGAAATGGACTGAAATGGGAAAATCATCTATGATTGCTATGGAATTAACATGGATCATAGAAAAGCATAGATGAATAAATAGTAATCATAGATAAAATTTTATCCCGTGTCAGAAAAAAACTCCAATCATTGAAAATCCTCCAATTATAGATGATTTATGATGATCTTCAAGCTTTTCCATTGCCATGTCTGATTACTGGCTGGCGGTCCCTTTCATGGACCTACTTTCTACCGGATCTGCAGATGGTCCTGGTGGTCCTGGCCCTTAAAAGATCCGTGGAAGCCGTGGCAAGATCTACATCTGGGGAAAATCTTGGGAAATCCGGAAATCTCATGGTTACCATCATTGATGTTCCTAAAATGATAAACCATAAAATTCTTAGGAAATATGAAAAGTCATTGTTGGGATATACCAAAATCTTTTGTTGGGATATCTACAATATTTGGGATATATAAAATCTTGGGAAATCCCGTTGTTGGGCAATCCCAGCCTGTTTTATAGGGCCAACTCAACTCGTTTTAAGCCGTTTTCAGACTGCACATCTCTAATCCAAAGCAACTCGTCTATTTTGGAGGTGGGTAATTTAACCATAAACCCTACTAATGTTTCATAAAATGTTGTTGAACATACATGTTAGATATATCCATTTGGTTACTTGCAGGATCATCCTACGAATCGTAACTGGTTAACATGCCTGGTTGATTTTTTAGCGCCCAAAATATTTGGGGTCATCCCGATTAGTGGGGAAACTAACCCCTAACCGGAACTCAGCAACTAGAATTCGTGGGATGATCCTCCTACGGGGAGTAAATAGATACGTCATGATACGTCCAATATGAAATACTATATATGGTTAATATGTTAATATATGTTAATTTTTGGTTATATGTTAATATACTAAATAATCTAAGATGGTTAATATATGTTAATATGGTTTACACTCGCCCATTTTGCTAAGATGTTTGAGTTTCGGAAATCCACCGGAAACAGGATGAACATTCCCATTTCTCCGCGACAGGATGACATCGATTTCCAACATGTGGTGGCGCAGGGGCTGCTTGGCAGAGAGGTGAAAACTAAGGCCTGGACGAGATGATGATTTCTTTAGTAACTGTCAAGATGAATGAAGTCTCCACTTTGTAAAGGGATGTAAAGGGTACCCTCTGGTAAACGTTTACGGAACTATGGAAAGATCCACCATTTTGTAGCTGGATAAATCCACTATTTCGACTGGGCCATTTTCAATAGCTTTTTGTATGTTTACCAGAGGGTACAACACTTTGAAACACATGGCGTCCCAAAGTATAGCCCGAAATTGCTACAATCCCCATCTTCAGACACCAGGTACCCTATGCTTACGTTGATACCCTCTGGTAATCGTTAACAGTTTGCTATTGAAAATGGCCCATAGAAATAGTTGATTTTCCCATTATATCCATGGTGATGTTCCATAGGTATGTAAACGTTTACCAGAGGGTATGTTGTATTGTTTTGGATTGTCTTGGGTCTCGAGGAACATTTCTGGCTTTTGCCAGAGATATGCATGAGCTTCTCACGGATATTTTCCCTGGACTCCATATTGAGGCGGAAGCCTTACGTGGGAACCCTCTACTCCCTCAGTTTGATGATTCGAGTATGGAAACCCAAATCATGTATATATATATAGTTATATATATATATATGTATAGTATGTGTGATGATGCAACGATACTTATGTACATAGTATATGTATATATATATATATTTATATATGTACTGTGTACATTGTGAATAGAGCATGGTCGACTCGACCTCCCAGGCATTGGTATGTCAGCGGCTACCACATGTCCATGCACCATCCCCTCACTGAGGCGTGGCATCGACCCAGTGGTCCCGTTACGTGATGTTAACCTGCAACGTGATGCTACGAAAAAAAATATACCCTCTGGTAAACGTTTACATAACTATGGAAAATCACAATTTTTAATGGGTAAATCCACTATAAATGGCCATTTTCAATAGCTATGTTAAATTACCAGAGAGTATATACTATGATGTTTATGAACATAGCATGGTTGACCATATATGGCTATACTATGTTTAGGATGTTTATGATATCTGGCTATGCTATGATGTTGACTATTAACCATTAACATGATGCACGTCAAAAAGCCACTAAAATCAATGGTTTATGAATGTTTATGATCTGACATTACCAGTGATGATTCACTATAACTGGTTGGTGCTTTGGAACATGAATTTGGGTTTTCCATATATTGGGAATAATCATCCCAACTGACGAACTCATATTTTTCAGAGGGGTTGAAATCACCAACCAGTATCTAATATTAATTATTAGCAAACATATGCAAACATATTTTTTTATTGGGTAAGCATATATGAGTTAATCAACGTTTAACATATAGATACGGAAAAAGACACCATTGATCGACACTGTCCCTTAAGAAAACTCAATGATTTCATATGATTTCCACTCTATGTAGTTTAAAATTCCAGGAGAACGTTTGGGTTTGTCACGTTTGTCTGAAAATTCTAGTGCATATAACTGCATATATATATATACATATATATAGTGGTGTATTAATCACATCAATGTTCATTGTTATCTCCAGAATATTCCTTATAGTTGAACCTGGTTCAACGTGCTGTGTATGGTACAAAGCAGGGCTTGACAGCTATCAGCTGGTTTACAAATCCATCCTACTGTAAATACATCCATTATAAAAGCTATAACCACCAGTGGACTACCAGGCTCCAGTTATATATTGAAGTTGTAAATCAACTTAGCTATTTTGGGGGCCCACTGACATTTCCCCTAAGCTTGGGTGTGCGTCACAATTCGTAAGTGTTGATCGTAATCCATACAATATATAAATACATATAGTTATATATATATACTTTATGTAACTGGGTTATATCCCATATGTTTAAGCGCCTTATTTTACAGTATATCATAATCTGATAAACATGATGAAAAAATCCGCAGCCGGATGGAACTCGGAAGATCTTTGGTCCATTTGAAGATGGCATCAAGGCCATTAAGATAGAGAAGTGGCATAAAGAATATGTTCAAATGGTCCATTAATATCCATTAATATCCATTGATATCCATGAATACTATGTGAGATATGTGAGTCCTCATTATGAATGGTCCATATTTGATCCATATTTGAATATATTTGAATGAAAAATCATGAATAGATGGCTTCTGTGGTCCATTTTTCGTTCACATGGACCCGTTGCCATCCGTTGCCCCAGCGCCGGAAGTTGGCTCAGGAGACAATGCCCCTTTTCACGGACTCATCAGCTGAACAAGCGATGCCTTTGGGCAGACATTCTTGGACTCAGTGGATGAATGTGGCCTGTGGTTTTACCATTACCCTCTGGTTATGACTAACGTAGCCATAGAAAATCATCATTTTTAATAGGTAAACCATCTATAAATGGGCAATTTTCCATGGCTGTGTTAAATAACCAAATGGCAACCTGATAGTCCATTGGCAAATGCTAAATTAGGTGATTTTTTCACCACGGATGTCTAAATTCGGTGATGTTCACTATGGATTTTGCTGGTTTTACCATTACTGCAACTCTGGGAATATCACTGATAAATGTGGCGATGTGTGGTTGATTGGTAGGGGCGAAACACCACGATGAAAAGAAAAGGTGATATATATATATATATTATATATATATATTATATATATATTATATCTATATATATTATATATATATTATATATATTATATATATATATATTATATATATTATATATATAATATATAATATATTATATATATATATTATATAATATATATTTTTTTTCCAGAAATACTGGATCTAATTGATGTTAGACTACTGTATATACCCAATGTATTGAGGATTATCATCACCCATGATGCCAATCCGGGCCAATTCCTTTACCAAGCAGCTAGAACAGTATAATGCAATGACAGAGGTTTGTGAACACTGCCTCAAATGGGCACCCAGTTGATCTGGTGGTGATGTGGGTCGAATTCATGGCCAGTTCACGCGACGTTTTTTTTTAATGGAAAGATGATGAACAGCAGTGGATTTGGGGTAAGAAGCACATGTGCTTCCCGTATGGAACGTACGGTGATTTTACCAACTGGTTACCAGTGGATTTTTGAGCAAGATGAGATGAACCAAGAAGACATGGGGTCACTGCTCTAGCGAAAATTGGGGCTTGTTTTAAACCATGAAGTGATGGTACATTCATATAATGTCATACACAATTCATGATGATTGCTTAGATATTTCTCCAATAACAATGTGTTCTTTTCATGGGCTGAGGGTAACCATGACTGGTGGATTTGGATTTATCCCAACCCACCAGATGTATCCCTCATTGTTTTAGGCGGTTTTCCCCATTGAAAACCACATTTAAAACTCCATTTAGTTTGGGGATTGTCCATTGCAATGATTACAGGGTAGATACGTTCTCTTATGGGTTTAAATCTCATTTCCAGGACAATCCGAGTGCCCCCCCTGAACCTCTCAGGTTCAGAATCGTGGTGAAGAACAATCTCACCATGAGCCGCTGGACGGCGATCACAGTGTGTTTTTATGTTTCAAAGTTGGTGTACTGATGTGGTCATGGTGATCACCAAGTATAAAGCTGGTTTCAAAGTTGGGCTGGTAAAACCCCCTATATTGAGCAATGGGTGTTGCCAATGTATCAATATGATTTGTCATTGGAATTCTTACTGTTTTGGCAATTCCATTTGGTTAAGTACTTCAGTTAGTAAGAAACCAATACTACATCTAATACTGTTTCCAAGAAACCAATACTGTTTTCTAATCTCATCTATCATCTATCTTCTATAGACTGTACTGTCTACCATCTTTTACTACCAGATTTTTTTTGCTATCTACTACCGGCTATTAAACTACTTCCATCTGGTGTTTGACAATTCCATTTGCTTAAGTGTTTCTATCATCCAAAACCCAACAAATGTTGTAATTCCGTTTGTAACTCCACTTGATGAATCTTGTCATTAATTAAATTCAAACTAAATCAATCACTATACACATTGCATAAAATGTGCACCTATTCCATTTGGTCAACTGTTTCATTTATCAAATGGCCTTAGAAATGGCTTAACTATATTCTATTCCACTACAATAAACCATTGGTTCACCCATTTCTAATCATTTCTACAAAATTGGATTCAAAATTGGATTAAGTATGGTGAATTATTGGTTTTCGCTCAGTTTTCCCATGTTTTATGGTTAAGCAATGGGATAAAGTCGTGCTTTTCACCCAGCAGTTTTCACCGCTTTTTGCTGCGAGGGATGGCGGCCCACCTCATGGATGAGATTCGCGCGGCGGTGAAATTCCTGCCGCTGAAGTCGGAAGTTGTTGGCGGGAAGGGATGAGAATCAGAATGGTTCATACCCTCTGGTGAACTAACATAGCAATTGAAAATGGCTATTTATAGTGGATTTTCCCATTAAAAATTGTGATTTTCAATAGCTACGTTAAATTACCAGAGGGTAATCATAATGGTTGATTGGTTCAAAATGTTGGGTTTCATAATCTGGTTGATTGGTTCATAATGGGATGAAATTTCCCACGTAACAATTTTTAGATAATTAGGCAATCAATGATCAACCATATATCAATGGTTGGTGGTTTGGAACATTTTTTATTTTCCATAATATATGGGATGTCATTCTTCCCATTGACTAATATTTTTCAGAGGGATTCAAACCACCAACCAGTAATGCTTGATTGGTTCATAATAATAATGGTTCATAATGATAATCATAATGTATAATGGTTCATAATGGTTAATGATTGGTTCATCAGATCTACTCAGAATGGGAAATGATTGGATCATAATGGTTGAAATTATATAAACATATGTATATATATTCTTGTTGATTGGTTCATATGTTTTTTTTTCTGCTTATAATTGTTGATACACAGCAGAACATCACCAAGACAGTTGATTAATCAAAAAACTTTTTGGAATCATTAATGTTAATTGTTAGATACATGGTTTTATTAAGGTCACCATTCAAAACATATCAATCTTTGGGGATGATCCATGAATCCCCAGCTATGGCTTGGTGACTTGGGCCATGTGCACGGGAGCAAATTGACATGTCTAGCAGTCGAATGTTACTGTGTTTTTTCATATGTGTTGAATGTTCATGCGTGTGAATGAAAAATGAAAATGTGTTGAATGTTCTAGCCTATTTTTTCTTCACTGATGTCCTTTTCCTGCAAGAAATGGTACAGTAGCTTAAAAAAAATTTCTCGAGTGCATGTGTAAATGCCACCTGTCACCAAACCATTTTTCTCCTCATGTCGGCTGGTTGCGTCGCTGTTTGCATGGCTATTTTTGTTGGTCATATTTGAATGATTTGTGGAGAAATACCCCAAAATGATGAAACATGGCCGTATGCCATCGTGGGATGGTCATAAATCCATTTTTGGATTCCAACGATTGGACGGATGACCCTACTTTACGTATGTATGATGTTTGACCATGGCACAAAAATATTAGCAGTTATGTATATATCTATATATATACACATACACTGACACATACATCAATATGCATATATATATATACATATATAATATTATATAATTTCACCTGATTTCACACATTGTTGTTAATATCTCACTATGTCCCCGTGCTATCCCCAGAATATCTTCATTGTACATTGTACATTGTACCCCCCCTTAGTATCCCCGCAAAATGGTTGGGTTTAAGGCTTAAGGCACAATTTAAATGCGAAAGTCACCATTTCTGTTGGTTAAGTCACCAGTTTTGTTGGTTAAGCCACAGCCCGAGGCAAGAGCACGGCAAAGGTTTCCAACACCGCAAGCCCAAGCGTGACTGGGCAGACGAAAGGCTGATTCTCAGTGAACCACAGCCATCATCTTCAGTTTGACTATTCGATATGATATACTGTTATGCCATCTCATTATTAAACGCGCCCATTTCAGGGTACTGTAGAGTACTGTAAAGAATATGCGTTTTTACCATATTGTATCCCGTACTAAACTATGGTTTATGGGTGGTGTGTCTTTAATATTAGGGGGACATGATTACACTACATACTTCTATTGGTTCCTTGGTTCATGAATTCACGTCGTCTGAATTATGAAGTGTAATGCTATTATGTAATCATATGCTACATACTGCCTTTTATAGATCTACCCTCACATAAATCTATTCCCGGGTAATCAAATGTGGCAATTGGAAATCCCCTATTAATGGAGGTTTCAATAGAAAAATCGTCGAACTAAATAGTGGGCTTTTGTTGCCATGTTTGATGACACAGGAGGTATATCTCATAGTAATCCCTATAACATTTTTTAATTGTAAGAAAAAAACACATTGATTATCTCTATGGACAGTTAAATTCCCAGAGAAAATCCCATGAATCATCTCGGATAGTTGCATCATGTTACATCCTCAGTTACAATTTATATACACTGAGGCTTTAACTATAGAGATGATGGGATCCCATTGATTCCCATTCCCAACAAGTGATCCCCTTGGCCGACGAGCGTGCGCGAGGTCTTCCAACGCAGCAGTCCGTGCCGGTGCGGCGCCTTCAGTGGGTTTCCAGGGGATGTCATAAGGATTCAAAGGGATTTCAATGGGATTCCATGGGGAAACTATCAACAACTCTATCTGGTTGGTGGTTTCAAACATGAATTTTATTTTCCATAACATATGGGATGTCATCCTTCCCATTGACTTTCATATTTTTCAGAGGGGTAGGTCAAGCACCAACCAGCTTTAAAATGGCTGATTTTTACCTCAATTTATGGTCATTTTTTCAGAAGGCAAAGGATGATCAACCATCCAACAAAAATGGAATTTCCCTTGGGGATTTCACCCGAGAAAAAAACACGAAGAAAACCATGGGGAAGTTCAGCCATTTTTTTGGGGGGCTGGTGATGGGATTTTTCACCGGTGTTTGGGCTAAGGGTGAGATATGTTTTTCTGGGATATTTCAGAAGGGGATATTCTGTGAGCAAAGGTTGATGCCAATATTGTGGCATGGTCATGTTCATTATTCTTAATATCTTTCTAAAGGTTAGTTGACATATTCTACATGCATCCAATGTTTTGATCATGGCACAGACCACACGTGTGGCCAAGTAAAACCCACTATAGTGAGCAGATATGGATTTTCAACCAACCAGAAATTACCAGCATAAAAATCGGAACATTATGGAAAGACCATGAAATACAAATGGTTGGTGGTTTGGAACATGAATTATATTTTTCCATTCAGTTGGGAATGTCATCATCCCAACTGACTTTCACTCCATCATTTTTCAGAGGGGTTAGCAGCAACCACCAACCAGATCATGCGGGTGTCCAAAAAAAAAAGCAGGGAAGCCGCCCATTCATCCCGATGGCCATGCGAAAGAGGGGTAGGTCATGATTGGTGGGATGTGACCGATGCTGAGGATCCTCCCCAGATCACCGCGATGTGGCGATATATGAATTCCAATCAGGCAATATTTTTGGATATATTTATAATGAACTATGATATGCAGAAAACAGATATCTTCCACAAATGTGACTATGCTAATAATTTTGGAAGACAGTATCTTTTAATCTCAGCGAATTGATATTTGGAATACACTCAGATTCGACATCCCAACTGGCCCAACTGTGCTGTGTGTACAAGGTGAAGATCAAATTTACCCCACGTAACCACCCTTAGAATAGTTTAGCAAAAATGGTTGGACTCCTTCAGATTGCGGGCCTATTGGTAACTTTTTTTTTATATGCACTGTATTCTTTCAGAGTTATTTCTGAGTGAGGTGATTGGCTATTTGTACACAAGGGGTTGGCTGAAGTTTGTTTGAAAAGCTGTGGACTAGTCAGAAAAAAAAAGTGTTTCTCCGCGAAAGCTGATGGTTCACACCATCACACCCATTCAGAAAAACGCTTTGATTTTATTTTGTCTTTACAATATGGTTTATGTTCCATCCTAACATCTCCCAATGTGACCCTGCAGGATGAACACCATCCGCCCGTTTTCCCCATTCGGACGTTGGTTGATGCCCCAAACAGTTTCTTAAGCGTTGATACTGTTTGACAAGAAAAGGTGCACCAGTTCGGAATCGCAACAAGTTGGTTTATGACTACACTATCTAGGAATTATGATGGTTTATGGATGTTTATGGTAGGTCTGTAAATCTGTAATTAATGGTGGTCATAAACCATCATAAACCAACAAAGATGTCACTTGGGCCCCCATCTTGGCAATGGCTCTCTTCAGCGCAGCAACGTCCAGGCATGCTGATTTTGATCGGGACGCGTCTTAGGTTCACCACACTATATATATATATATTTATATATATATATATATATATGTTATTATATATATATATATATTATTATATATATACATATGGTGGCTTAATATTGGCTATTCTGGGTATACATGGAGGAATCCTGGAATCTGGTATCCCAACATGTTGAAACGTTACGTGGTAAACCATGTGGAGGATTCATTGAAAGAACTTCTTGTCAGACTTGGACCATTTCTTCATGTGTTTTGCTGGTGCAGCTTGTGAGCTGCAGAGGCAGCTCGTCAGAACACCCAAGCTTTTGAACATTGATTTAGTGCCGTGCGAGCTTTTGGTCCGAAGCAATAGATTTCGGCAGCGACCATTTGTGACGAGACCTTTACGTCGAACATGAAGCATGTGTTTTGTTTTTAGATATATGTTTCAACTTAAGCACTCCATGCAGATTTTTGTTTGGCGGTTTGCTTGCTTTTTATGTTCCTCTTCCAAACTCGAATTTGGCAATCCAGATGTGATCAGCTGTATACGACCCAAAACAAACATTGCTGCGGCTGACCCTGGTCAGCTGTTGATGCTTTGGATGGAAAGAAGAAATCATCCCAAAAATGGTTGGAAAAAATATGACAAAATAACCTTAAACTTGCAGCAAATAACGAGTTGAATGATGAACATGATGGTCAAGCACCTCGTTTTTTGACGTGCCCTACTTTCAGACAAACCCAATGATGGAAAAAAAAAAGCCAGATCCCTATAAAGTGACTGTGGGTCTTTGACTTTGGCCCTGGCTGATCATCTCCAATTCAGAAATATTGGGGTGGTTGATGCGACAATCTTACACTGTGGTGCCCTCAGTTATGTTTGTTGGTTTATGTTACCATATGTAATCATACTGTAGAAACGTGGCTTCCACCATACAAGTAAACCCACTAGTCATTGTAGTTACAAATGAACAGACACCTATCAACTTGGGGCCATGTTGTGACTTGGTACTGATTTACTGACTGGGATGAACTCGCAAATGGTTGCGATTGTTTCAGCTCGCAGACGGGTTGCGAGCTTCAAAAAGTCAATGCTCTTGGATGCTTTTGGAGGTTTCCAAAACTGGTTCGTGAAATTAGATGACTATACTACTCAGTGCTACTCAGTGAGTGGTGACTGTAACCATGGCTATAACATGCAACAACAAACAACGTATGGGCGTATGGGATACAGCCAGAGTTTCTTGCTGAGATAGTCAGTACTCCTAGATGTTTCAGATCTTTTTTTTTGACTTTTCCATGCAGATGATGAACTGATACTGTAGCTGCCCACCTGGATAATTCGGATAATGGAACCATGATGGAGCCCTAAATGGAGCCATAAAAATGTTTTTTTTTAAGGAAGTAACTACTTTTTCATTTCAGGATATACAGACAATATGAATCACTATGATGACATACAGTAGCAGTTTTCATGGGTCACAAAATTTTTGGAGTTTGAAATGGCCCACATCAGGCCTCACTGGCGGCAGGTAGAAATCAGTGGTGGCCTCTCATCAGGTCACCGCCCGGCCGAGTGTCAGGTCGCACGGAGCAGGGGCTCAAACGCACTGCGAGGCGATACCCATCGGTGAGTTTCATACCACACTCGATATGTTTGTCAACAGCTATGTTTAATGATATTCTTGTTATCCTGATGCACATTGGGGATATATTGGGGATCATTGGGGGAAAACAACATAAAACAACCAACTTTTGGCATCATTTTCCAGCTGATGTAGTTCTCTTCGTTTCAGTGGCCTCAATGTGAACTTTAGGACCGGAGCTCCGGAGGATGGCTGAATGTGAAGAACCATCAAACTGTAGCTGTTACCAAATGGCTATGGATCAATAATGATCAATACCTATACATAGCATTTTTAATGGGATGAACATCTATATCCCAGCTATTTTGATGTGAACTACAGGGATACAAGGTTTTGACACACTGCCATGTGAAGAACCATCAAACTTTTGCTGTTACCAAATCAAAAGCCTCAATCGTCTGAGGATTTTTGTCCGGGCGGGAGTTGTTTACCTACATTTACTTCATTTTCTGGCGAAGTCTTGGTAGAGCAACGTGGGGCCCCAGTTGGTTGATAACTAGAACTGTTTGTCTGAAAATTCTCCTGACATATGGCAACTTCCAGTAATATGGCAACTTCCAGTATTAATTCATATTCCATATTGCTCGTATATCCCCAATATCACCTATGGCAACTTACAATAATACGGTGGGGTAGGGAACATGGCTCCATCCGATTCTGGGACAATGGTACCAGACACACCTGGTCTTTATGGTGGACACATGGCTATATAATAATCATAACGTTAACGGCCCCAATCATAAGATACATAGGTTACATACATTAAAATGATTATATCAGATATCAGACCATGGCTGTTAATGAAAATTTTGATATCCAATCATCGCTCAGCCATGGTATAACCATGGTGTCGATATGTGTCGATATGTCTGAATCACATATCACGATGGTACCACAATGGTTTACCGATTTTTGTACAAGGTTGGCAAACATATACATCCTTGATCAACCAGCTAGAGTGGGATAAAACCTGCAACCTAGTGATTGCCGGTGACTTAACATAACTATTGAACACCACCATATTTCTAGTGGTAAATTATCTGTATATAAGCGGGCCGTCCATACCATAAAATACAATCAAACTAGTTAAGCTATGTTAAGCTGTCCGGTATCTGGGGTACTCTGTCGGATTTCCTATCGTTCAACACCTTTGATGGATGGTTTTCGGTTTCGAATTTCAACCGATCCAGTTGGTCCAAAAATGGTGGAAAATTTCCTGATTGGTTTATTGTTTAACATGTTTAACCATTGGTTGTCCAAAAAACTGGTTCCTCTTACCACTTCAACCAATGGTTTATGGTTGTTCTACCAACCATTTCTGCCGGTTCAACCCAGCATTTCACCACCTGGGGGATATTTCACCACCATTGCCAACCTGCAGGACTGGAGGCCGGGGAGTGAGCCTCCGGGAAACATTGGGTGACGGCTCAATCAGCAGTTCTGTCGGTTTATAACATTTTATAACTACAATGACTGTACATTAATAGGTATCTTATAGGTTTTATGGATTATGATCGATCTAGCCATATATAGCCACATTATAGGATCTATAATAGAAGTAAGGTTAACCAACAGGGTTTAGTTTCGTTTGACCAGTTGACCCCCGGTTAGTGAAACTAGGTGGCAAAATGGGTAGTGCAACCATACCATAAACCACTGTTAGTGCATAAGATGTTGAAACTATGATCAAGCAAGAAATGTAAAACACTGGTAAAACATCACGGAAGGTGGACACTAGATACACTTCGCCAATCTTCGCCATACAAATAGGTACACACACCATGTTTTTCATTAATGAAGTGAAATGCTAAATTCGAAGGGTGAATGGAGGGTCTAGTGCATATTCTGTATACACAGATATTAGATACATTATGATACATTTAGATACTGATATGCACAGTTTAATTACGTCGCAACCATATGTACGTAAGTGTGATGTGCAAAATAACGTCGATACACGGAGTCAGCCATTGACCCAAAGATGGTCCCCGTTTGTGACGAACACTTACCGACCTCACCATAATTATGAACTAGCCTCTGGTAAACAGCCACATAACCATGGAACATCATAATTATTAATAATTTTTAATGGGTAAATCAACTATCAATGGCCATTTTCAATAGCAAACTGTTGACATAACCAGAGGGTACTAATCACCACTATCAACCATTAAACCTCCATTAAACCACCATTAAACCAATGGGTTGCGAATGTTTTTTGGATCCGCAGCGGCTGGGGAATGGTTTAGGATCTTGGTCAATCCAGAGGGATTAAAAAGATCCAAAAGATCCAAAAGATGGGATGAAATTTCCCAAGTAACAATTAAGATAATTACCCTCTGGTAAACAGCCACATAGCGAACTGGAAAGATCCACCATTGTTTATGGGTAAATCCACTATTTCGACTGGGCCATTTTCAATAGCACACTGTTAGTTTACCAGAGGGTAAGCAATCAGTGATCAACCATATATCACTGGTTGGTGGTTTGGAACATTTATGTTTCCATATATATATTGGGAATGTCATCATCCCAACTGACGAACTCCATGATTTTTTCAGAGGGGTAGGTATACCACCAACCAGATATCTCCAGTAAATTCGACCCTGGCAGATACATAGGGGTTGGAAGATGAGTTTCCACTAAAGATTGGATATTTTCTGGGTCTATGTTCATTTACTAGAGGGTATCATTAATGATCATGATCAACATATCATCAATATATATATATTACTATATATATATATTAATATAATTTATAATATAATATAATATAATATAATATAATGTTATATAAATATAATATAGTATAATGTTATATAAATATATATAGTATAATATATTTAATATAATATACTATAATATAATATAATATTATATGATATAATATTATATGATATTACATTATATTTATTATATTTTATTATATTTTATTATATTTTATTATATTTTATTATATTATATTATATTATATTACATTATATTATTATTATTTTATAATTATTATTATCATTATTATTTGTTTTATTATATATATATATATTATTATTATATAAATATATATATATATATTATTATTATATATATATACACATTATATACCTACATATGCATATACATATCGATCAAGCACATGAGGTGTTCTACATGCAATGTCATGTGCCGGAGCCCTCCTCAACAAATGTGTGCTGCACTCTGCGGTTGGCTCAGACATGTGTAGGACTCGCCTAAGGCGATAGTTATAATTTGTTTCCACGTGCCCGTACCATGGTAACGCGGAGGAGGTGGGGCAGCATGTCAAGGTTCAAACTCTTCATGTTTCTCGGCTGAGTCCTGGGGCCTGAATTGGCGAGGATGGAGACAAAAAAA